TATCTTATCTTATCTTATTAAAACAAATAGAAATTGCTTGTGATGCGGTTTATGATGGTAAATTGGAAGAACACATTACAAAAGTCTTTAAAGCAACACAGCAGATTAGCTATAATATATAAGTTGGTTAAAACATCTGATAATCTGTTAAAACATCATTTAAAAACATGGATACAAACAAAGATTAAGATACCATGTAGATGGGGCTAAAGAGCCACATGAAGCTCTAAATGTGCAGGTTTTAGAAGCATGTTTAATCAAAAAGACTTTTTATACCTAGTATTGTTGTGCAGAATCGTTAGCCCAACTGCAGACTTGTCTGACTTTATCTCATAATGTAGATCCATCTGGTTTTTATTCTTTAAAAGAAGTGTGTATAAAGTATGATTTTCCACATGCTTGTTTAATATGTTAACCATATGTACATGAAGGTTAATATTTTAGATTTTGTTTTATTTGACCTTAATTTATACAAATCAAATCCTATTGAGAACATAAATTCTCATTTTCAAGAGAGATCTGTTCCAACATTATACACTTCAAAGCACTTGGTGTCAATGTATATGCAGCCAAGAGGTCTGGCAATGAAATGCCAGTTTTCTTATGCAAAAGGATTATTTCAAGACATCACATTGTGACATATAGAGTCATGTCGACTTTGACTATTCAACCTCATATGCAACAAACTCTGATCCATTGCATTGACGTCTTCAGCAATTTGAGCTGCAGTTGTGTGATGGAGCATTCAGGTCATCCTTTGCTCCCTAGTTGCATTGGAGATCTCGGCAGCCCATAAACATGTTGCCAGTTTAATATTGATCTTTGCTTAGACTTTTTTTTAGATATTGACCACTGTAAACTATACTGCTCAAAAAAATAAAGGGAACATTTCACTTTAATTTTGTGTGTGGCTCCAAATCCAGGCCTCCATTGGTTAATAAATTTGATTTCCATTGATGATTTTTGTGTGATTTTGTTGTCAGCACATTCAACTTTGTACAGAACAAAGTATTCAATGAGAATATTTCATTCATTCAGATCTAAGATGTGTTATTTGAGTGTTCCCTTTATTTTTTTGAGCAGTGTAGAAACCCCCCAGGAGAGCTACAGGTTTTGACATATTCTGACCCGGTCACTTAGACTGGGTCAGAACATGAACTTGCTCAAATCCCTGCATTTCCTCAACACATGAGCTTTGATGAACTCTCATCTTTAGTACATCGCCAAAGGTTTTCTTTTCTTTTTTTTTTTTTTTTTTAGAAACTTTAGTGTTATCAATGTTCTCTGATGTTGTCCTCCTTAAATTGCTCTGCTATTTCATTATATTTTCCAAGCTCACAAACACTTGTAGGCTGCTAAGATTTTACAATAATCTGAAACTTTGACTAAGACGGAACTTCAGAAAAACGAAGTCCCACTACAGGAAACACCTTCTTGACCTTTTTGTGGGTTGTTGGGGCCCTGCTGATTGTTGTCAGCTGGTGTGCTCTGCACGCCCATCACGCCAAGCCGACCTTCGTCTGTCAACTTGTTCTGTGTTTATGTGTAGCGGTGTAACGTGTAACTAAGTAACGTGTCTACTGACAGGTCGCAGGAAAGAAGTACACCCTTTGGGATGATTTCCTTGTTGAAGGAAGACGTTGCAATCAGCAGGAAATGACCTTGGCAGATCTCATCCAGCATGTGAAGGTACTGCAAGGAAACCCACATTTTTTTACACCCGCTGCTTCAGAATGCACTTTTTATTTGTTTTCCTAAACTTGCTTACCTTCCTGCAATGCACGCAATGTGACAATCACTATTGTTTGAGGCGATCTCCCTGTTTAATTCTGCTTCTGACATTTTCAATATAATTTTCTACATTTTTACATTTTCTACATTGTAGCCAGTAGAAGTTTAGGGAGGAGGCCTGATATGGCTGCTTTCTTTATTTTTCAACTTGAATAGATGCTGTAGAATGGGCTGAGATGGAAAATGGAGATGAATTGAACCAGCAGTGACGTACACAAAAACGCTGTCACTGGCCACATTGTTTAGGTACCATTAGGTTACTGGATCGGACTAAACTTTGCCTTCAGAAGTGCTTTAATTCTTCATGGTCCAAATTCAGAGCTACGCTGAATTGTTTGATACTGGTTAATGCACCTCTGTCCTGACGCTTCAGAATTACACCCCATTTCTTCTCATCTGTCTTCAGCATATTTGTCTGCAGGGATTTCATGTCCGTTGTACATATCATCCTGCTTATGAGCACCTGTCCCCCATACAGAAGTATAAATATTGTTTGCTTTATTTTATGCAGGAAACAAATGGCTTGACCATCTGCAGCTTATTTTATGGAACTGCTATCCTATACAACGGACACAAAGACAGGCTGAAAATGAGGTAGGTCCAGTAAAAATAATTCTGTAAGTTGTCCCCTCAAGGCTGCACTCGCAGCAGTCCAGCACTCAGACCACATCAGAAAAGCAGCGCTCCTTTGTTTGTTTTGGGTCCTAATGGGAGAAGGAGTCGTCGTTTCCGCTGAGCCTGTGAGGACAGACCCTGTTGACCCACAGTCACATGCATCACTGCGCACAGATGACCGAGACGTCTCCTCGGGTTTCTGTTTGTTGTGCACAGGCATTGAAGAGTTAAATTAGAGTGAACTTTTGCATCCTAGAAGCCATGTTGTTTGGGCCTGTTTGGTTCTGTTAGATACCCCTGGGGAGGTGAGTCAGTTATCTGGTGGTGTGAAACGTTTCTAACCCTACACGGTTTGTTTTGATTGTTCCAGGATAGGATAGATGAATAAACCACAGGCAAAATTCACACGCAAGATGTTCCTCTCTAATTTTTTTTGTAAAATTTGACGCTGCTGATTGTTGGCACAGACTTTCTTTTAACTCACAAATGTTGACATTTGAGTCTGTGTGGAGCCGTTGTGGTGGCCAGATTAAGCTCCAGGAAGAGAGGCAGAACGACGACCATGTGGACACCAGGCTTTACTTGATAAATGTCCGCAACAGCAGCCACTTCCTGTGCAGTCGCCCTGCCCTGAGCTTCCTGTGTCGAGTCACTGAAAGTAGAATGAAAAACAGAAAAACTGACAAAAGGTAACTAACAAAGCACAAAATGGAAAGGATGACGTTTCTTGTTATTTAGTCATTGATTGGTAGTACTTTTAATATAACTTGTTATATTATGAAGATGCGAGGCCAAAAAGCAAGAACGTTGTTGAGAAGTTCAATACGGGGATAGGTTATAAAACAACTTTGTGCATCTCACAAACCCCTGATCAGAAAGAGTATGGCACAATGGCAAACAAAATAGCAAACCTACCAACACACAGTGGTCCACCTAAACCTAACAAGCTGTGCAAGGACACAAATGATCAGAAATGCCCTTTCTGAAATAATGGCAAGAAGGAAGCAGTTGTTTCACATGTTGGTCTGTTAACAAAAGAAAATCTGATCCTAAGTTCATCATTTCCATTTGGAAAAAGATTACATTATGCGTGAATGTGTTTTGCAGTGTGTCCGATTTGGTGAAAATGGTGACGAAGAAAGAAATCCCTCCTCATAAGAAGATGTTAGAGTTGATCCCTTCGTTTGATGAAGATGAGGACTGTGAGACAGTACCTACCATCAGGTACATGCTCCTGTGATTGGAAAGACGACAAATAAGGTCTTGCTAATGCGCGGGGGCGTCCTGATCGAGAAATGATTTTACTTAATAAAAAATAGTAATGATAAAAACTGATGTAAAGCCATTTTTAACCAAAGATTGCTATGTGATCTTTTAACAATTAAAGCATTTCCATAAAATTATACCAAATATACAGATACTTCTGTTCTGTACAACAATTTGCATCATTCTTCCGTTTTAATGTTTGATAAAATCAACTTTTTTGATGTTGCTGTTGTCACTTGCTGTTTTTGTGTTGATTTTTAACAGGCATTTTTCTTATGGACTACCTTGTCCTAACTTATGATTTTGAAAAATTTAATCTGATGTTATTAATGATAGACCAATGCACAGTTCCTGCTTCCACCCCTCAAAATAATAGTGGAAGCAACAGAAGACCTCAACTACTTGTTGAGTATACAAGCTTTATTACCAAATCAATTCAACAGGAGTCTTAACAGAAACTGCTACTGAAATATTGTTTTTATTCATTTGTTTCATGTAACGCAGGACTTATAGCATAAGTTCCCTTTTACTTTTTTTTTAATATTTTGGTTTGACTTTTTTGTTGATTCACAATCTCAGCTGGTATACTTGATAAAAATGTGATTATTTGACTCTAGAGGATGTTAGCTGGAGGTTGTGCATAGTTATTGTTTGATCAGGGCTCATAACACTGGGAACAAGTCAGCTGCTTCTAATGGAGATTGTAACCAAATAAATAGTGGAAATATGGTGCATCATTAAATCTAGGTGCTTTTATTATTTATTTACAATTAGTAAGTAATGCAATGTCTCTTTAGTGTTCTGAAAATCTGCCTTTACAGTGCCTTCACAGCAGATGTGAAAAACAGACTTTCCTTTCCATTTTCCCACTGAGATGTTGGATTTTCTTCCTACCCTTTCAAGTAGATCTTTAGGTTCTTTGCTGCCATATTCAAATCTGGTGATTTCTGTGTAGCGGCAGACGGGGTTTTTTTGGGGGGGTAGATGGAAACATCTGGGTATAAACTGGCAGAGGAGTAAGCTGACCCGCTGCTGAGGACACTCTCCCCTCCCAGCCTTTTCTGGAAGGCCTTCATCTGTCCTCAGGCGGCTCGTGTTGGTCCTGCCCTTAAGCTCAGCCTCGCATTGTGTTTCACTCCACACTCTCAAATTAACATGTAGACGCTTTAAAATACATGCACCGCTTTCTGCTTGGATACATTATTAAGATGGAATGTGAATTATTGCCGTGGTAACTCAACCTACACGCTGAAATATCTGCACCGTGTAACAAATCAGAGAAGCGATTTTGTCGCTGAAAGATAATAAAGGCCTCCGTGGTGAACGTGTTGCTTGAGGATTTTTGCTTTTATTCTCCCATAAATATTGAGCACATTGTTCAATAAATATATATCTATATATATATATATATATGAAAAACTTTTATTTATGACATTTTACGAGAACAGTCTGATTTAAATGTGCTTGGACGAGACCGTCACATTCAAATGTATCCAATGATGTCGTTGCATATGATGGGCTGCCGGCTGCCCGTCTTCATGAGTGCAGAGAACCTGTAGAAATCTGTGTCCAGCTGATGCAGGCCTGTGTGAGATTGGTGGAAGAAAGGCTTGAGAGGCTCAAATCCCACAGGACAGGACATCCTCTGAGGAGCCTCCGCTGCTCTTCTCAACCGTGTGCAGTTCGCTGGCTTCGGCCGCAGCTCCACGCCTTTGGACATCCCCGCCAACTTCCGCCGCATGTTGCCAAAAATGTCTCTCGCAAGACGTCGCCCCGAGCTGGGCTTCATCTCGGCTGGTTCTGGCAGATCAGGCAGGTCCATCCAGTTCTTTATGAGGTCGGCGAAGCTGTTGTCCCCCAGAACCAGCGGCTGCCTGTTCCTGCTGCGGCTCAGCAGCGACGTGGTCCAGTCCTCTGTGTCGCTCGCTTCAAAAGAAGTCCAGCGCTCCAAACAGACGTCAGACGTCGACTTTGGCCTGGCACGGCCGGAGGTTCCTCTGTTTGTTCGGACGCAGGCGGAGGAGGAGACTCGCACGTTTCTGGTCCTTCTCAGCACCACACCTTCGTCCTGCCAGGAAGCCTCGGAGAAACCAGAGTCCAAATCCACGCTCTTCTCGCTGGCTGGGGAGCCCCGCGCCAGCCGATCGGGCTCCCGCTGCTCCTCGTTCTCCTCCTCCAGCGGGTTGGCCAGGCAGCAGGCGGAGTCGTAGGTGCTGGCCTCGCTGGCATCAGACACACGGAGGCGCGTGAGCCGCTCCTGCTGCTGCGCTCTCTGTTTGCAGAGCCTTGTCACAGCGAACGACTGGTCACACGGCTCACTCAGCGGCCTCGGTCTGCTGATCTGCTTCAGGTCCTGCAAGGACCTCATCATCGACTGCATTTGGTCCCGGAGGCAGTCGGTGGAGTTTCCCAAACACAGCTGCACGTGGAGAAACAGACAAATACACAATTACACATGCAAAACTTACAAGACGAATTACAACCAGCTTTGCAACCGCAACAGCAGCATTCAGACATGGAACTTTTCCCACATTTCATCATGTTACAACCTCATAGTGTAATAGATTTTATGAAGATTTAATGTGATAACTTAAATCACATTAAATTTATCACATTACAAACTCTTTAAGAGTGCATCATTTAACTCTTCCTAAAGATTAGTTAGATTGGATGTAGATTGTCTGTAATCAGTTTTTTCTAGATTTTGACAGTCTCTTTTAGCCGTCAGGTTTCCTTCCATGGCTGCAGTATATTTAGCTCTATGCATCTTTCCTGTTCCAGCTGAAGAATAAGCATCCCCACAGCATTATACTGCCACTACCATATTAACTGAACAGCGCTCTGTAGAGTTGTCAAAGCTGGGACATCATTCTAGAATAAAGCCCTACTTTACCTCTATCCAGACATGTCTGCCCCTGTTCCTTGGGTTTTTTTTTTTTTTATGTTGCTCGCCAATTATCTCCAACACACAGGTGACTTCTGTAATCATTGATTTTACAGGATTTCATCGACGGATATCAAAGGGATCCAAATACGTAACACTTTCCAATTGTCTAATTATTATAAAGGAAAAAAAAAAGACATCATTTTCTTTCTACTTCTCGGTTCTGTGTTTCTTTATGTTGATCTATCACATAAAAACCCAAAGAAAGGGTGAAGGAAAATGCAGTGTAAATATCCTGTTGTGCTCCTGATAAAGGCAAATCCTGATGTAATTTTCCACAAAACCAGTAGGATTTTTATCAGCTGAGATCACTCGCCAACTTTCTGAACTGGTCCAGCACAGGATGCACATTTTTAAAATGACATTTAAAAATCTCTGCCTCCTAATCTTAAGAGGGGAAGTTTTGAATAAAGTGGAGCAGAATCTGGGCTGCGGCCTGCTGGCTCACACATCCTCCCTGGACTCCTTCAGCCCACAGGATGTCGAGTGCTGTGTTTAATACAGCAGGAAATGACAGCAACCCCATGGAATTACACACAAATCTTGCAGGCACTCGTGTGGATAATCCCCTTTTTTGCAGGTTTCAAATCAATAACCTGATACTTTACAATTCTTTATTTTAACAACAACAAAAATAAATAAATAAATTCTCATCTCAGCACTTGCATCCCCCTGAAGTTGTTTTTCATTTTCCCCTTAAGCATTAAGTTCTGCCTCAGAGTATGGACGCCACAATGCCGCGATGTTATCACAGCTGTGGGTGCTGAACCATTTGGCCCTCAAGTGCAACTTATCAGACATAAGGAGACACCCGCAGGGAACTTTTTTAAAGTCTCCCTGTTCCTCTTGGCTGCTTTCACACAATGGGGAGACGTAACTCAGTTACACGATGCATTTGCCTGGGACACTTCAGTGTGAGTAAACTACAATTTGTGGAGGGAAGCACACAAATCAATGAAGAAAAATTAAATAGGCGAAGCTTCTGGCATTCACTTAGAGCTAAACTCTGCACCTTTTTGTCTAAAAAGAAAAGTGGAAACAGATCAGAGGAAAATAAACTTACCATTTCTAGAGTTGCTGAAGTCTCAATCCACAGTCTGTTTTTTTTTTTTTTTTTTTTTTTTTGTTTTCTGGAAAACACAAAAAAAACGGAAATTTAGCCAAATAACAATAAGATTACTCACTTCCTGAACTTTAACTCAAGCAGAACTTTAGGTCAACCTTACCTTTAAAGTTAACTTGAGCGCAATAAACGGTCCAACACATCCAGGCTGATTCCAGGCGGTGATGTGTCTCCTGGCATCAACTCCTTCCTTTAACACTCATGAAGCTCTGTCACATCAATTTGAGGGCTCCGAACGTTTCTACTGCACCCAATCAGCGCAGAGCACTGACCAAAGCCAGCCAATAGGATGCCGTCTGAAACAACGCAGTCGTGACAACAACTACACCGTGTTACTGAGAGTAAAGTTTAACTTCTGCATCTGCGCAAAAAAGGAATCCAGACTTATAAAGCAATAGATACGTTTTATCATTCGGAATCATGTCATCGCTGTTAACTGTAGTTTATGACACTTTTGCTTTTAATTCTTAGCTTTTATTGGAATTTTTTAACATATTAAGTCATTGTTTTCTGCACAGTGTTGAATTAATTGTAATTGAACATCAAAAGTATTAGTATAAAAAAAAATGTTTGCAGCACTTGAAGCTATGATTTATTAACAAAAACTACAACGCGGACCACTAATTTTCACATCTAATAAAGCTTATGAATTAATATTTTTGTCCGATTTAATTCGGACAAAATGTTGCTTAGAGTAACTTCGCCACTACACTCCACGGCGCCACCTGCTGGATACTTTTCTCTGTCCCTCAACTGTCATTTGAGTAAAAGCAAAGGATTCGTTGAACGTCTTTAATCTAAAACAATTTTGTGTTATAATTCAGTCAAATGAAGTGACGGGTAACATGGTTGTTTGCTTTCAGGGTACCTACATATATTTTTCTGTTCTAAAGTCCAAAATGTTGTGTTTGTAAGTTTTAGACCAAATTTTAGTTTGAAAAATGAATTATTAGCAACTCAAGAACTATGAAACTAAGTTCTAAATATAAAATATTAAATATAAATGTTTACTTTGAATAAAAAAAAACGTTTATTTTTCAGTTATTCAAGCTCAAAAAGCGAAACTCATGTCAGTCATTAGACACACAGTGATATTTATCTCTTGTTAATTTTAATGTTTAAGGCTCACAACGAATGAAAAGCCAAAATGTACTTACCCAAAAAGATCAGTATTACTTTAAAAATGACCCAAAAACAGATTTTGATACAAAAATGTGATGTTAATGATTTACACAGTCGAGGAGAAGGCTGACTTGACAGGTGTCATAATGACTTGGTGACAGGACAAATGTTTTGGTGTAGTCTAGTGGCCAATAACTATAAAAAATATATAATTGTGTCATCTTACTGATATGCCTCAAGGAAACATCCATCCATTATCTAACATGCTTATTTCTTCAACCCTAAAAAGTACAGCATGACTTTAATTTTAAAAGGATTGTAGTTATTTTGTTAAAATCATTACTTAAAATAGATTTTCTTTTTCTCCCTGAAAAAATTTACTGAAATTAGGGGTCAGAGTGTGAGATTGTGTAAGGTTTTTACACATTTTTTTTTTCATTTTTTATTTTTGCAGAGGGCCACAACTTCTCAAATCATTGGCCCAGATTCAAAGATGGAAGAAACAACTTTTACATCCTTTCTTAAAGTATCACATTGAAGCTAAAAGTTAATGTGGTCAAACTTTATTTACATTTACCAAGAGAATCAGAATAATATTAATGAACAACGATCATCCATTTGTCTTTGTGTGGTGTTGCATCATAAATCTCGGATCCCCGTGAACTTGGGTGGAATAAAAATAGCCCTAATTCACACAATGGAGATGGCATGTCTCTAAAGAACAAGTGTAAACAGATATCAAGGCACAAACATATGTTTAAAAAGACTTGGAATGAAAAGACCGACAGAACAATCCTTGTTGGGAACAGACATAACCATTTAAAAGTCTTACATATACCTTAAAAGTGACACATTAACCATTTTCTGATTTTTTTTTTTATTTATTTTTTATTTTTTAAACATGATGCTTTGGGGTTGGTAATCAGTTTATGGGGGGAGATTACAGGCTAATAATCTATGGAGGGTCATGCAGAATGATCCACTATACATGTGTGAATATTGACTCTGTGTAAACAGTGTACAAAAAAAAACATTTATCCTTCATCCAGTTTCTGTTTCCATGCTCAGTTTTCTTCTAAAAAATAATCTCTGTGCAGTTATAAGGGTATTAAAATAAAGTTAACTGAAGTTCATGTGCTTTTTTTTTTAGAAAAAAAAAAAAGTTTTTTGTCAATTGTTTCCTTTTTTCAGCCAATAACAAGACAAAATTTATGAAAAATGAAATGAACCCATCAGAGCATTAAATGGTCAATTAATGATTAAATCCTTCAAAATCTCCCCACTATCCACCACCATTGTGCTGTGATAACATGTCATGTTTTGCATTTCAAACAAAAGCTACAAGGATAATATGTCGTTACAGATCTTATTAAAGTGTCGCAGTTTAAAATTACGATACAAATTGTGTTTTAGGATCAAATATGTGTTTGATTATGATGAATAAAAAACTCCCTACAAAGGGAAATGTGGATGAAGGTGGACGTGGATCGGTGACTGCAGAAGTTCTGACAGGTTCCTCTTTCAAAAACAAAAAACAAACACATCATGGTTTTCATTATGAAAAGCAGGAATCGTCACATGGCTATTGCAGTCTCTCATGCAGTCCGTTTGTGATGGGTGCTGTCCTGCACAAAGAGAAAGTAGAGGCACGTATTTAGACACGTTTACATTAAGTGCACGCATCCGCAGCAAATCAAACTAAAGTTACGGATTTTTATTAACACTACAGACGTTCAAATATGGTGTCTTTAAGTTTGGGTTAGATCAAATTGGTGATGCATGTTTTGCAAATTATGTCTCTTCTTCAAAAAAAAATTGCTGCTGCGTACTATCATAGCAAAATTATTTCCCTCCTGCATTTTTAGAGGCTTGGCAAAAAAAAAAAAGTTCAGTGCATCCATCCAGTGGGTATGGATGCATTTGTAAAGCATAGTATATATTTTTCTCAGAAGGCAGAGACTTTTCTGCAAACCCTTTCATTCTCATGTCTTACCTTTAGAAAAGACCGCAGTCTTTCAGGTTGTTCTTAATAATAACGTCGGTGACAGCGTCGAAGACAAACTGAACGTTCTTGGTGTCAGTGGCACAAGTGAAGTGGGTGTAGATCTCCTTGGTGTCCTTTTTCTTGTTCAGGTCCTCAAACTTGGTCTGGATGTAACTGGCAGCTTCATCAAACTTGTTGGCTCCTGGCAAGCAACAGTTAGAAAAAACATGAATTATCAGAGCTTTGGGGTTTGACGTGCAGCAAGAGGCTGCGAGTGTTAATGATGTGCACCTGTGTATTCGGGGAAGCAGATGGTGAGGGGGCTGCGAGTGATCTTCTCCTCGAAGAGGTCCTTCTTGTTGAGGAAGAGGATGATGGAGGTTTCGGTGAACCACTTGTTGTTGCAGATGGAGTCGAAAAGCTTCATACTCTCATGCATTCGGTTCTAAACAGAAGAAAAGATGGTCATGGTCAACAGTTTCAGCTAGAGCCTAGTACTACCACTAGTGGAGCTTGGGTAGCTTTTAGTAGTGCAAAAAGACATTTTGGGTTAAGCATTCATAAGGTAAGTACAAATTTAAGTGTGATGTAAAGCAAAATAAATGAGTTATTTAATCCAAAAGTGGGTCTTGCTTCAAATTGAAACCTTTTAAAGGGGCGGTGTTATGTATTTTCCAGGCACATAGCGCCATTTTATAGCACAGTCAAGTAATAATCTTACCTTAAGTAGTTGTAAAAAATGCTGTATATATCAAGCATAACTCAAAGGAAATTTGACTTTGCAATTCAAAGCATTAAAACTGGCCTCTGTCTGAGGATCGCTGTCTTGTCCCTCATTGGGTAGGAAATAATGTTTTTTTTTTTTTTTTTTTTGCATGAGAAATCCTTTTTTATTTTAACTTGTATACTATTCTAATATTGTCAGACACAGAATTTGGGGTTTTCATTATGTGTAAACTGTAATCATCAACATTAACTTGAAAAAAAAATATCTTGAAATATGTGTGCTGTGAATCCTTAAAATGTGCCAGTGTCCCTTGTTGAAGTGAATTACTCAAATAAAAGTCCAATGATGTTCTAACGTTTTGAAATGCACCTTTAGAGCAGAACATGATTGCAGCAATGCCTCTGAACTTCCACCAGGGGGCAGGGTTGTTTCATGCAATAATTTAAACGTGAGGATAAACAGAGCAAAGATTTTGTCGAAGTCTTTTTCTTTTCCCAAACCTCTCCAAGTCGCTCAGAAAAAATCTATAAATTTTTTTACTACATACTCACACTTCAGATTAAAGTTCAATGAGCCAATTTTACAACCTGGGATTAGATGTTCTCAGGTTACAATCCAGAGTTCTGCCCATGATGCCTTGCAGTCCAGCAGAGTCTAAGATTGAGCCGACACCAAATAAAGAGTAGGTTTGTAAATCTAGTAGAGACCAGAGGATTGGGGGTTTTCTTACCATCTCTTCATCCTCAGCCAGCACCAGGTCATATGCACTCAGTGCAACACAAAAGATAATGGCTGTTACTCCTTCAAAGCAGTGAATCCACTTCTTTCTCTCTGACCGCTGGCCTCCCACATCAAACATTCTGCAAGGGAAAATTTCGGAGAAAAAAAGGACAAATTGTCTGCTTGTGTAAGATGTGGTTAATACAGAAAAAAAACACTAAAGTGAAGCTTAAGGGAAGAATATCTGTGGGGGACTAAAGGAGGAAGTTAGTCTGATCATGCTTTCTTGAGGTTGCTTTGATAGGAGAAGTGGTGAGGAAGTGGAAATATCCCTATCAGATGTGTGGTAGAAAGAAGGGGATGGAGAAGGGTTACGAGAGACAAAAACTGATTTATATTGAGAGTAAGGCGTTAAATGGAAGAGCTGAGTGTAAAAGTCGATGGCAAAAACTCCTCTTTGTTTAGGACGTTTTGGTCTTATTCTTATGGTTGTTCTGAAGTGTAAACAAAGCTGGTGAAATCTAATAAAACCGTTTGCACAAACCCGTGTAGCCCAACTCCCTTTCCCAGTCTTTGCTGTCTGCGGTGATTGACGGAAAAGGAACCAAACTATAAAAAGCCTGCTTCCTGCTATCGATTGTCTCCGTGTATTATTCAGGGTGAGTACCGAGACTGAGACGATGGGTAAATGTCAGAGTTTATCAGGAGGCTGGTCACACCAGAGACCTTTAGCTGGTGCTGCCGTTTTTATGAATTCACTTCAGCGGCGGACAATCATCGTAAATCAGCAAAATATTGTAGTAACTGTAATATCCTTCTATACCTTTCCCTCCATTCTCCGGTATCTAAACCACTTCCTGTCCTCTATAAGAGGCGTCCCTATACATCCATTACTAACCCACACATAAGTGCTTCACCTGGGTCACAGGATATTTTATGTAAGACCAAAAGCAGAGCGTCATGAAGGACCTACTAAATGTTACCACTCAGTAGAGCTCTTGTTTTATTGAACAAGAGCGACGTGGGCAGAATCAGATTTATTTACTCTGCTCTGAGAGCGATAATGATGGTTGAGCTTTTAATTTCTGTCATAATTTGGCTTTTAAGTAGTGGAGTTGCCCATTTTACACCGCCACTTCTAATGCTATTAATAACAGGACCGTCATATTTTCTGACCAAATGTGTAAACAGTGTGCACACTCTCAATCACACAAATACAGCAAAAGTATTCATACTCTATTGGCGAACTGCAGTGCATTTGATCTGAATTTTTTATTATTTTACTTTGACTCAAAGTAGTTTGCTTTATTGTGAATTTGTCAGCAAAAATATACCTGAATAAAGTCCAGTGTAACCATTTGCATAAGCCGACTCAAAAATCAGTTAGGAGCTATAGTTGTGTAAATCTAAACTGAAATATTTTGAAACATAAAGAAGCATATGACACAATTCCAATCTGAGGTGGAGGAAAAACATCTGAGGGTATCTTGTGTGTGTGTGTGTGTGTGTGTGTGTGTGTGTGTGTGTGTGTGTGTGTACATTCTCTACATCACCAACCCCATGATTAAACATGGGGGTGGTAACATTGCAATATGAGGGATGTTTTTCTACAGTTGGGGCAGGAAAGCTGGTCGGAGCTGATAGGAAGATGGATGGTGCTAAATACAGGCCAATTGTTGAATAAATCCTATTATAGGATGCAAACCATAAGAGAATTGGGCGGCGGTTCCCTATAAAGCAGAACAACAGCGCTTAAAATAAAGCTAGAGTTGGAAAGGGTAAGTCAAAGCAATTTTTTTGATGTATTAGAATGTGTTGGTCAAAGTCCAAATCTGATGCCAACTGAAAATATGTGGCAAAAAGGATGAAATATCTGTTTACAGAGACTCAAAGAACAGGCAAGCATTTCAGTCTCCGAAGATACACCAAGAGACCTACCGGCTGCAACCGATAGAAAATGTGTGGAGAAGACAACTACAGTTCACAAAATTCACATTTTCATTTCCCCTTTTAAATTACTTTGGAAACTCTGTATCAGTTTCCTTTCACTTCACAAATTCGGACTACTTGGTTCTGGTATAGAATCCCAATAAAATCTATCAAAATTTGTGTTTATGTTTATCACTTTGGATGATAGACTCGATGATGATGACAGAATCAGGTGCATTTGATCAGCAACACGTGGCTGCAACAAATCCTCTCAACTACAAAGTTCCCCAAAGTGTGTCAATCTGCTTTTATAATCTGAGAAGCACTGTGTCATTATTGATTTTGTCTGTCTTTTTTTGCATCCACCAATCAGGTCACTGTGCTATGATCTTACTTGAAGTGCAATTCCTTGAAGGTGAAGTGAGTCTCAACGATGCCGGTTGTCTTAACCCGAGTGCGTAGCACATCCTGCTGGGTGGGGATGTAATCTGCTTTTGCTATCCTCTCCAGATCATTCAGGTAACTAAGAGACAAAAACAGCGATCAGGAGCTCAACACAATTTCTAACACATGAGGCAAAGCAAAAAAAAAAACAAAAAAAAAAACAATACATGCAGGCTTACGTGGTGAACAACACAGAGGGCAATAAGTTCAATTAGGCTGCAATCCAAAGCTCCCTGAAAGATCTAACTTGTTAGCAAGACTTGAGTGCTTTTGTACACATTTGTACACATGAATGTGCAGCTACAGCGTTGTATTGAATAAAACGTATTTCTCATGTTAAGACTCCATTGCACTGGTTGCTGATCTGCAACTTTATCTTCTTGCTAGTTCATTGCGGTGATGCTGCAATAGAAACAAAGAGATGCGTCTTCCGGACAGATTTTACTCCGTTCACAGAACACCTGAACATGCGGGAAAAAAAAACAACAAAAACAAACAAACAAAAAGTCTTTATTCCTTCACATGTGCTGCAAATCAACACAATTAATTAGTAGAACAATCCATATCAGTTTTACTTTTAAATCCATCCATCTTGGTGCAGTCTCTCAACATCAGTCTAGGCTTTATGCATACATTTTGCATTGAGTGTTTTGTTGTCTGAGTGCAGCAGTATGTGCAGAATTGATTGTGCAGCCTTCTCTCCAGCTGCTTGTTGCTGCTAATGGTTTTCATGCTCTAACGGGTCACTTTGTGAGTCTTGTAGAAGACGAGGCTCTGCACAAAAAAATGCAGCTCTGACTCATTCATTCACACACATTGCTAACATTTAGCTCACTAACCAACAACACACAAATAATGATACATATTGCAGCTGCCTCTCAAGTCTAGACGAGATTTCTCAGGGGGAAGAATTGTGGCCTTATATGTACAAATGGTGTATCTGACATGCTGAAATGAAATGTCAACCGTGAAGTAGAAATTTTAACATACGGACTGAGGGTTTCATTAGTCAATTGTGAACAGTCCTCTCATTTGTAAATCTACTTAAAACGTGTTTTTGTGACATTTTAGGAACAGTTACAATCATTGTTATGCTTGTGAAAAGATAGTATACAAACATCATCATCTTGCATTATGAGGCAAGACAGACTGAAAAGCAAAAATCAGAGATTTTTCATGGTGATAAAAAGGTCATTTGCTATTTGTCTTGTAAATATTGTGAATGGCATGTTATGATGATCCATGTAATAATCGCCATCATTTTGTGATACTCTGTTATTTGACAGAAATAAGAAATAACATTATATATATATATATATATATATATATATATATATATATATATATATATATATATATATATACAAACTATATATTTTTTTTTTTTATTTTTTTTTTT